AATTTCTTTGTTAAAAACTAAGACCCGAACACACACACTAGCCTGGGTTTACACAGGGTCAGGATCATCAATAGCACTGTCTTCCATCTTCACATCTTGTCCCACTGGAATGTCTTCAGGGGCAATAACGTGCATGGGGCTGTCATCTCCTATGATAGCAATGCCTTCTTCTGGAATATCTCCTGAAAGACTTGCCTGAGGCTGCTTTACAGTTAACTTTTTTTACATGTAAGTAGAAGGAGTACTCTAAAATGATGATAAAAAGTATGTTATAGTACATACATAAACCAGTAACATAGTCATTTAGTATCGCTATCAAGTATTATGTACTGTACATAATTTTATGAGCCACACTTTCATACAATTGGCAGCACAGTAGGTTTGTTTACACCAGGATCACCACAAACACACATTGTCACAGCTATGACGTCATTAGGTGATAGAAATTTTTTAAGTTCCATTATATCAATAATCTTATGGGACCACCGTGGTATATGTGGTCTCTCATCGACCAAAACGTCATTATACATTGCATGACTGCACTTTCGAAAGATGACCAATCTTTTGACCATCTAATAATCCACATTCTCGAGGGTGAAGAAGAAATAGTTAAAAATTGCTTCTAATTCTTGAAATTACAAATCTCATTGACCTCACGCTGTGGTACTGCAACCTTCTTTAAAATATGACATTCCTTGACCAATATAGAATTATAAGAGATTATCATATATACACATATATGTATATTTTTGATATTTGGTGGGTTATTTTTGTGTTTGTTTGCCTGGGATGTTTATTTTTATGCTAATATTATTTACACAGCAATGTACATATACATGTAAAATAACATATGTACATGAAATAACTTTGTGGTTAGAAAGGTATAAAATAAGAATGGCTCACCCCAAATGAAGGCATTTAAACTGAAAATGTTTAAATTTAAAGAAATAGTATCTAGAGGAAAGAGTACAGATTTCGCAATCTGTTAACCCAAGGCTCAAATCCTAAATTTGCCACTTCTTATCTTTGTGATTTAGGGAAAATTACTTAACTTCTGTGAACCTCAGATTTCTCATGTAAAATAGAGATAAGTGATGTCTATTTCATAAACCCTGCTTTATGCCTTTTCCTTCTTTAAATGTCCTTTTGTTGGGAGAGTACTAATGACTGGGTTTCTGGAATTAATTATAAGCTGAAGGGTGAAACCTGTTGAAGAAAGTAGAGTTTTATAAATAATTTTATAAACAATTTTCTTCATCTGTCAAGAAAATTAATGCTTATGCATGCAGTGTTGTTATAAGAAAAATTGGTAATCAAATATGTTTAATGGAAATATATATGAAATACGTAATTGAATGATGTGGGTGCATTAAACAGAACTGAATATTTTATACCTGAAATTTACCTGATTGTTATTCCCTGCAAATGAAAACTGTGCTTACTTTATTATAATTTTTTTATTTATTCAATAACAACAGAAAAGTATAAAAGTGAATCTTGGAAGTTTTGTATATACTTTCTCATTTAATATTATAATACTGAACATCATTTTCACTATTTAGAACCAAATATGTCAGAAGGAAGTTTCTATGCAAAATCATGTAGTGTTTCAAACTTTTTATTCAAAAGACTTTCCTTTGACTATTCTTTGAAGCAAATAATTTTTTAATTTCTCAGTCCAGCAAGATCACAACTCTCAAAATAAAAACTTTCTCCAACACTTTCTTACTACCTTTTTGATCTTGGAAACCAGTAAGAATAGCCATTACTGTTTAATACCAAGTTTTTATTCCTCCAAATTTTACCCCTAATTTGCGAAATTTTATCAGTAGTAATAAAGTAAGTTGCTGCTCTGTAGAGATACATGAATTTCTTCAAAATGCTATGGTACATATTAAGTTAGTGGGAAAGACTGCATCGGATATAATCTGACCACATCACTTTGGCTCAGAACCATAATGCAATGCCTTATGTTTTCTCTCAGCAGATCACCGAAAACTTAGTCTATGAAAAGCCAGAGGACCCCCTGAATTTTATGCTGTGCCAGGTATGCAATGGGAGTAAAAAAGCAACCTTCCTATTCCCTTTATTGTAAGTATAGCACACGTATAGCAAAATGTACAAAACAAACAGTGGACAACTCTGTATTATCATGAAGTAAACAAACCTATAACTACCACTCAGGTTAAAAAACAAAATAAAACATTTCCAGCATCCCAGAAGTCCCCTCCTTTCCCTCAGTTATTGCTTCCCACAAAGGGACTCTTACTCTGACCTCTATGATAATGACTTCCTCACTTTTCTTTGCAATTTTATCATTAAACCTTAATCATGAAACACGTGTTTAGATTTGTCAGCTTCGTGAACTGTGCATAAAGAGAACCAGTTCTATCAATCACTGAAAAGGGGTATTTTCATCTTCTAATGTGATTATGGAACAGGCCATTCTCCTTTTAATTCTGTTAATTTTCCCTTCATGTGTTCTAAAATTCTGTTATGGTGTATATTAATGATCATTATGTTTTTCTGATTAATTGGCCTTTTTATTATTATGAAATGTTCATTGTTATCCTTGGTAATATTCTTTGTCTTGAAGTGTATTTTCCCTAAAATTAATATATCCAGTTGAGCTTTCAGATCTTCATATCTTTCATACTTGGTATATTCTTTCCATCCATTTGTTTTCAACCTATCTGTGTTTTATATTTAAATTGTGTCTCTTATAGGTAGCACATGGTTGGGTTGTAGTTACTTTCTTGTCTATTCTGCAAATATCTGCTTTTTAATTGAACCATTTAGACCATGTGTGAACTTTAGACTATGTGTTTTTAAATAACACACAAGTTAGGAAAGGATTTCCATTTTTAAAGTAGTGAAGAGGAAAAAGGAGAAAAGAAGAGGAAAAAGTGAAATTGGCAGCGGTGACAGAGACAGTATGTGTCCCGCAAAGACAAAGCCTAAGATATGTATCATCCAGGTCTTTTCAGAAAAAGTTTGCCATCCCTCATTTAGATCGTTATCATTTAACCTAATTATCAATATGGCTGAATTTAAATCTCTCATTTTATTATTTTCTGTTTGTCCCCTCTGTTTTTATATTCTTCTGTTGACTTCTTTGGGATTATTTGAATGATTTTAATATGTTATTTAATTTATCTATTGCCTTTTTAGCTATACCTCTTCTCATTACTTTTTTAGTGGCTGCTATAAAGATTACAATATACCTAACATTTCACAGTACACTTAAAGTTAACGTTGTCCTACTTCACATAAAAGGAGGAAAGCTTACAACCACGTAGCTTTTATTCCTTTCCACCATTCTTCATTTTAATCTTGTCATATGTATTAACATGATATTATTTTTGCTTTAAATAATCACATGTGTTTTAAAGAACCTAAGAGGAAAGACTAGCCTTTTACATTTATTCAGATAATGTATATTTCTAACACTCTTCATATTCATTTGTGAATTTCCAAATTTCTTCTGAAATTATTTTCCTACAACCTGAAAAGCTTCTTTTAGCATGTCTTGTATTGTAACATTGCTGGCAGTGAATACTCTTGGTTTTCCTTCATCTAAAAATTTATTTTACTTTCATTCTTGTAGGACATTTTTGCTGGATATAGAATTCTAA